AGGTGTAGTGTTTTTTGAGCTCCTACCAAGGAACCAAACAATTCGAATGTGTACTGTTGGCAATTGGACAGTTTAAATGAATCTATCATCCAGAAACATTTAGAACTCATTACCCATAAAGGAGTTGTGTTCCATCACGACAACGCGAGACCACACACAAGTTTGATCACCCGTCAAAAATTATCAGAGCTTGGATGGGATGTGTTGCCACACCCACCATACTCATCTGACTTTGCGCTGTCAGACTTCCGCTTGTTTCGCTCTCTTCAAAACTCCTTGCGTGGTATAACGTTCAATTCAGATGAGGTTGTAAATCAGCACCTTGTTCAGTTTTTTGCCGATAAAGACAGGTCCTTCTATGAACAGGGAATTACGAAGCTCACTGAAAGATGGCAAAAGGTTATTGAACAAAACGGGCAATATATCACCGGTGGATCTTTGTTCTTTATATAAATAAATGACCTTTGAAAAACATAGAAAAAATACGTCATGACTTTTCTGACAACCCTGTATTATTTTTATATTATTAAGGTGTCTTCCTGAGGTTATAATAAGTGTTCGCTGTGCTTTGTACATAGGCTGAGTCTGAAAATGAAATATAGCATATGTATAATATTAAGGTTATGTAAATACTAATCACTGTGGATCTATAATGAAGATGTCATTCTATTTCACTAAACCCGTGCTATCTGAAGCATTCATATTAAATGGCAGCTCTAAACATTGCTTCACGTCATGCCATATTTTAGTTTTCTCATATTTAGACCTTGATTTTACTGTATGAAGCTTTCAGTTTTCCCTAGAGTGGTGTTTCTCAACCTGCCAGATGTGACCCACAAATGGCTAACTCACCATATGACCAAGATCATCCAGTTCTTTGCTCCTATTCTCTTTATTAAATTGTCAGCTGTGGACCCATTGGCTGTTTTCTGGGCTGCTGCATGGCTGTCCTCCCACAGTTGCCCTCCTTCACACTGTTCCTTCTCTTGAGGAACCTGTGTCCTCCTCTTTGTTGAATTCCATTTTAGTTTTGCTGAAGTATATCCCTAAGTACCTTTTTTCAGAAAGGGGGCTCCATAGGTAAGTGTGTTGTATCTCTGCATATTTGAAATATCTTTTTCCACTTTCATACTAGACTACATGATAGTTTCTAGGCCCATAATTACTGGTTCAAAATCATAGATCTCAGCAGTCTGGAGTCCTGATTCCATTACGTGTAATGGGCAGAGGGTTTTTTTTTGTGTGTGATTCCTGTGGCTCTCACATTGCACCAGGATGGGTTTCTGAGTGAGTTTCTTGTTTCATTATTTTACACACTTCTGTCTGAACCTTGTTTCTCTGTTTAGTCCTGAGAAGTTTTCTTGTCTGTGCAGTAAAGCATTATTGTACCCAAATAGGAGCTTGGCCTTTGCCCTCAGGTCTGG